AACATTTTGCAGGGGCAACATTGCAAGCCATATGGACAAATTTAAAAAATTAGTGAACTTGGAATAGTAGGCAAGCTCTTTCCATATAGAAATTATGAAAGGCATGGCAACTCTAAATGTAAAAGAAAGAAAATTCTTAGACAAATTTTAGTTTTGTGCGGATTTCTTCTCCGTCTCCGCAGCCGCAAGATTGTATTTATACTCATAGACTGGACGGTTTTAAAAAGTAACGTGACATACATGCATACATGTATTCCTCGTTCATATATATAACATTTTCTCCAAGTGTATATCAACGCGGTCACTTTTAGCTAAAAATTTCTTTAGAAATTTGATTATTATATCTTTGCTTAAGAAAACTTCTCATGATTTTAAAAACTCTTTTGTTTTACAAACAATCCCATACACACCAGCAATAAAATCTACCAATGGACCTACTATAGAACATACTAAACATACATTGCAACACAGATACGAACATGCAGCAGCATGCAACTACCAACAATAACAATAAGAAGAACAACAGAAAAATTGCAGCAAAAACAAAATCAATAGTTGTATCAGCACCTGAAATTGTTGGCAAGTTTTTGTTGTTTTTTTTTTTTTTTTTTTTTTTTTTGAGATATCAATACAATCTCATGTTGTCGGCATTTAATCTTCTTTCTATTGTCCTCCACATCTGGTGTGTGTGTGTGTGTGTGTGTGTTAAAAAGACACCATTTACTTATGAAGCCTGCAACAGCATGTCTGTCCAAATCTATGTTTTAATCCTCTGTTTGTTGCAAAAAGCTTTAAAAGCATATATATCTTAAATGTATCTGATACAAATATATAGTACGAGTTTTAAATAAATTGTTTATAAACTGTTGATAAAGAAAACCCCCAAAAAACATTCATCTCAAACACTTTTAGACCGAAAAATGTAAAAGAAAATTTTTAAAATTTTTTCTTAAAAACAAAGTACAAAATAAATGACCGCTTTACTTTTGTTAAACTTTCACTTTTTCATTAAGAAACAATTTGAAATACTTAACTATTAATAATACCAGCATTTTCTTAAAACTTCCCTTATCATTATCTATTTTTTAGCCAAATTCTAGGCGACAATCGATTTCGTTTAAATTGTCCCTTTTTTAGTATTTTGTTTAAATTTTTGAATTTTAATTTTAACAACCAAATATGTGACATATTATTATTTTAATAATATGTTTGCAATTTGTTAATTGTTACTTTACTTTTACACACAATATTAAACAAAAAAAATTAAAAAAAAAAACAACGAAAAAGTCATAAAAATATAATATTCACCGGTTACTTATCATTAAAATAAATTGCCAGCACGCAATACGAAAAGTTGTCGGCCACATTCGACAAGTTGGTGAAACAAACAAAAAAAAAACGTACAAAATTAACACATTGTTTTATCATCTGCCAATAATCTGCTGCGTGTAAAAATGTCCCAAAAATGTTTTTGCAATAAAACGAATGATATTGTAAATACTTATTAATTCGTAACTATAATATGATCACATGTTTTACAGAGAAAATTATAGTGTTGATTTGACTGGTTGCAAAAGGAAGACCAGATAGGTTGTAAATTTAGAGCCATTAGTCTAATGATGTAGTTTAATTTGTTGTTGTTTGACATCTATATATATAAAAATGAAAGTGTGTTTGTATGTATGTATGTATGTATGTATGTATGTATGTATGTATGTATGTATGTATGTATGTATGTATGTATGTATGTATGTATGTATGTATGTATGTATGTATGTATGTATGTATGTATGTATGTATGTATGTATGTATGTATGTATGTATGTATGTATGTATGTATGTATGTATGTATGTATGTATGTATGTATGTATGTATGTATGTATGTATGTATGTATGTATGTTTATTTGTTTGTGCTTTATAGACTGCTAAACGGCTGGACCTGAAATTTTCACAGTTTCTTCCTGTATGTCTGGAAAGAACTATAGACTACTTTTATGTTGAAATTTCATGTGGGCGATGTGCCACGCCCATATTAAGAAAATATTAAATTAGTATATCTGAGATAATATAATAGTTAGAATCAAAGTATAACAAGTAGTCCGACTCTTTGACAGCAGTACCTAACTCTAAGCATGTGTTAGTGAAAAAGTACCTAACTCTAAATATGTGTTGGTAACAAAAATGTATATGTGTTGGTGCGTTCTGAACACACAGAGTTTTATAAAATAATACAATTTTAAATTTGTTTGAATTTTCAATACCAAAAATTGAAACTCTGTTTGTAAATTAAAATTCAACAACAACAAACATGAAATGTCAATAAATAGAAAAAAATATTGTTTCCAGTTTAAGAAAATTAAACAATATTTTATGTGAAAAGTGCAATGAATCTATTTTAAAAAATTACAGATTTTTTGTGGATAACTGAAATTTTGCGTACGATCCTTAAAAGTGGTCAAAAAAGAGGGTTTTGAGGGTTTTGACAAGTTTAAACTTCCCACAAGAGAGTTGAATTCTCACGGAACTCGTATATGTGAGAGAGTAATTTCCTATATGTGAGAGTCGGACTACTTGTTATACTTTGGTTAGAGTCTTCAAATTTTGTCGGAGCAACTTTAGTATTAATATAATTATTTAAGCGGTGGGGCGGATTAGCATTAGGGGGCGTGGCACCTCCCATATAAATTAAATACAAAAATTCGTTTATCTTGGAAACTATTATAGTTAGAATATTAAAAATTTGCACGAGTAACTTTAACATCCATGTAAACATTTTGGGAAATAAATTGGCGGACTACCCATGAGGGGAGCAGTACTTCCCATATTAATAAAATACAAAAATTGGTTTATCTGGGAAACTAATAGAACTAAATTCTTCAAATTTTGTACTAAGAACTTAAATATTCATCTGAACATTTTAGAGAAAAAAGAGCGGACTTTCGTCATGGGGGGCTTGGAGCCCCCATATAAATTAAATAGGAAAATTATTATATCTGAGAAACTATTAGAGCTAGAATCTTCAAATTTTAATTGAAGAACTTTGACATTCATGTGAACATTCAGAGGATAACGGGCGGACTTTTAATGGGAGGCTTGGCACCTCACATATGAATTAAATACAAAATTTCGCTTATCTGGGAAACTAATAGAACAAGATTCTTCAAATATTGCAAGAAGAACTTTATTATACATATGAACATTTTGGAGAAAAAAAGGGCGGACTTTCATCTGGGGGCTGTGAGTTCCCATCAGTGATGCCAAGTGTAGGGATTTTTCCCTTTTTGTAGGGATTTTTTTCAAAAATTTCACGTGTAGGGAAAAAGGGAAAGATTTCTTACTATTGTCAAATTGTAGGGATTTTTCAATTTCATAGTTTTTAACAACTAAAAATATACTCTTTCATGTATTAAACTTTTAAATTAAAAATGAAATCAGTTTTAAGTGTATCGTTAGTAAAAATTCCGCTTGTAATTTCTACAATATATGTACCTACATATCGCTACAAGACTGGCATAATCCAAAATTCGGCTTTCTTGAACTAAGGTCTTCAAAACATGCGACATACTAAAATCTTTCATATAGATTTATGAAATTTCAAATATGTCTATTATTTTCGATGTGAAATCGATTTTTTGTAAACGTAAAAACTAAAACCCACGTTTTTGTGAATATTAGACAACTAAAAATTTAATTTCAATTTAGATGAGAAACATATTAACCTCAACTATCTGAATCTGGATTTTTAAAACCCCTTGATTTGTTTAAAAGTTATTAAAAAAATAGTTAAATGTCATTAAATATCCATATCCATTTTTCTTGAAACGACTTTTTGGATTATGCCAATCCTGTAGGGCGATATATTCTGACTCCTTATAGATAGAGTAGTCGGGGGCTTAATGCAGTAACTCAGGATTGAAAAAATGAATTTAATGTTCTGAAAATTTATAAAAGTAAACCGCAAAAAGTAAACGCAAAAGTAAACCTTATTTAAAATAATTATTTTATGAAAATTTTTTGTCATAAAATAATTAAATAAATCTTTCAATTGTTTTTTTTTTAATCTTAACTGAAGAGTCAGGGTTGGAAGATTTGTATGATGTAAAATTGAAAGAAAAAAAATTTAAAATTTAAATTCTAGAAATTTCATTCCTAAAAATTAAATACATACATATATGTATATTATAAAACGGAGCTAATATTTTAGTTTTTGATGTTATTTTTGTATTTTTTTAAGATAAACTTTGAAAAAAATGGAAAAAAGTAGTGTAGGGAAAAATGTAGGGAAAATAAAAAGTGGGTGTAGGGAAAAAAGGGATTTTTTCTCATAAGCGTAGGGATTTCTGAAAAAAATCTCCTGGCATCACTGGTTCCCATATGAATTAAATAGAAAAATTCGTATATCTGAGAAACTATTAGAGCTAGAATCTTCAAATTCTACATGAAGATCTTTGACATTAATGTGAATATTTAGAGAATAACGGGCGGATTTTTAATGGGGTCTTGGCACCCCCTATATGAATTAAATACAAAATTTCGTATATGTGGGAAAATATTCGATTTTTTTTTTTACTTTGTCATCGATTACATTAAAATCTTAATTAACGTTCGGAAAAAATGCATCTCTGGAAAACATTACAGTTAGAATCTTCAAAATTACTAAGAAGATTTTTTATTTATATTGCTTTTAGGGTAGCAAAGCACACTGGGTATAGCTAGTTTAATATAATAATCGAATTGTGTAAGTTTAATCGATTTCATATAAGATGGAATGAAAAATGAGTTAAATAGTCTAATTACACAGTCCAACAAAATTTCAAAGAAGTCGAGGTATAATTTTCTAATTTATCCATTACATCTGGTTAAATTTTGAAAAAATTATATAGCAGTAATATACCCTTAGATTAAGTTGATAGGAGGATGTATACTAACAGAAATCCGAAGAAATAAATTGAAATAGAATAATATTTTTCCCAATTTTATCTTTATTTACAGACTGCTTTGCACTGGGCTGCCAAACAAGGCAATGAAGATGTTGTCAAACTAATAGCAGGAACCTACAAAGCCGATGTTAATGCTCAAACGGTAATTTATTACTAAAAAAGGAAATCTTTAATACAATTATAATTTATAATAATTTTATATTAAATTTTCTACTTTCATATCAATTTCATGACTCGCTTCTATCACATTTGAATGGAAATCAATCATAGAATGGGGTAAGTAAACTTCTAAAATAACAGATTTAGAAACCAAAGATGTCTTTCAAATACAAAGCTAAAATGTAAATGTTCAATAGTTTTGTTAACAACTTAATAACACAGCATATGGCAACATGTTGTTACTTTATAATTCAAGAAATAGTATCTTTATTACTCTTTCTCTTCTTCTCATGAGACACTTTCAATATATAGATTTTAAAGAACACACACACAAAACATCCATTTAACCAAAACGAATCTTGAAACATGAAATCATAGCAAAAAGGGTTGGGCCATTGTTGTTACTCCTCGTATTGGCACTTAATAATAGTAAGAAAGAAACATTTTGCAATTTCAATTTTGTTATGTGTCAAACGTGAAATTTTAAAATTTAAATATACAGATTTACAAATCTGTATTAAACGTATGCATGTATGTATGTATGCTGTGAGTATGTAAAATATTTACATTTATATAAAATTGAAATTGGCAACACATTTGTCGCGACAAATGAAATGTTTTTCTATAGTAACACAATGAAGTGTTTTGAGCAGAGACAGTGATTTAAAAGAACTTATTCATTGATTGTTTAAAACTGTAATAAACTATAGACTAGATTATAGACCAGACTATACTATAGCCTAGACTATATATTAGACTATAGATTAGACTATAGACTAGACTATAGACTAGACTAGACTATACACTAAACTATACACTAGACTATAGACTAGACTATAGACTAGACTATAGACTAGACTATAGACTAGACTATAGACTAGACTATAGACTAGACTATAGACTAGACTATACACTAGACTATAGATTAGACTATAGACTAGACTATAGACTAGACTTTACACTAGACTATAGACTAGACTATAGACTAGACTATAGACTAGACTATACACTAGACTATAGACTAGACTATAGACTAGACTATAGACTAGACTATACACTAGACTATAGACTAGACTATAGACTAGACTAACTATGACTAGACTATAGACTAGACTATAGACTAGACTATAGACTAGACTATACACTAGACTATAGACTAGACTATGACTAGACTATAGACTAGACTATAGACTAGACTATAGACTAGACTATAGACTAGACTATAGACTAGACTATAGACTAGACTATAGACTAGACTATAGACTAGACTATAGACTAGACTATAGACTAGACTATAGACTAGACTATAGACTAGACTTATAGACTAGACTATAGACTAGTCTATAGACTAGACTATAGACTAGACTATAGACTAGTCTATAGACTAGACTATAGACTAGACTATAGACTAGTCTATAGACTAGACTTAGATAGGAACTAGACTATAGACTAGACTAGACTAGACTATAGACTTGACTATAGACTAGACTATAGACTATGACTATAGACTAGACTATATACTAGACTATAGACTAGACTATAGACTAGACTATAGACTAGAATATAGACTAGACTATAGACTAGACTATAGACTAGACTATAACTAGACTATAGACTAGACTATAGACTAGACTATAGACTAGACTAGACTAGACTATAGACTAGACTATAGACTAAGACTATAGACTAGACTATAGACTAGACTATAGACTAGACTATAGACTAGACTATAGACTAGACTATAGACTAGACTACATAGACTAGAACTATAGACTAGACTATAGACTAACTAATAGACTAGACTATAGACTAGCTATAGACTAGACTATAGACTAGACTATAGACTAGACTGTAGACTAGACTATAGACTAGACTATAGACTAGACATAGACTAGACTATAGACTAACTATAGACTAGACTATAGACTAGACTAATAGACTAGACTATGGACTAGACTATAGACTAGACTATGGACTAGACTATAGACTAGACTATGGACTAGACTATAGACTAGACTATAGACTAGACTATAGACTAGACTATAGTCTAGACTATAGACTAGACTATAGTCTAGACTATAGACTAGACTATAGACTAGACTATAGACTAGACTAAGACTAGACTATAGACTAGACTATAGACTTAGACTATAGACTAGACGATAGACTAGACTATAGACTAGACTATAGACTAGACTATAGACTAGACTATAGACTAGACTATAGACTAGACTGTAGACTAGACTATAGACTAGACTATAGACTAGGCTATAGACTAGACTATAGACTAGACTATAGACTAGACTATAGACTAGACTATAGACTAGACTATAGACTAGACTATAGACTAGACTATACACTAGACTATAGATTAGACTATAGACAAGACTATAGACTAGACTTTACACTAGACTATAGACTAGACTATAGACTAGACTATAGACTAGACTATACACTAGACTATAGACTAGACTATAGACTAGACTATAGACTAGACTATAGACTAGACTATACACTAGACTATAGACTAGACTATAGACTAGACTATAGACTAGACTATAGACTAGACTATAGACTAGACTATAGACTAGACTATAGACTAGACTATAGACTAGACTATAGACTAGACTATAGACTAGACTATAGACTAGACTATAGACTAGACTATAGACTAGACTATAGACTAGACTATAGACTAGACTATAGACTAGACTATAGACTAGACTATAGACTAGACTATAGACTAGACTATAGACTAGACTATAGACTAGACTATAGACTAGACTATAGACTAGACTATAGACTAGACTATAGACTAGACTATAGACTAGTCTATAGACTAGACTATAGACTAGTCTATAGACTAGTCTATAGACTAGACTATAGACTAGTCTATAGACTAGACTATAGACTAGACTATAGACTAGACTATAGACTAGACTATAGACTAGACTATAGACTTGACTATAGACTAGACTATAGACTTGACTATAGACTAGACTATAGACTAGACTATAGACTAGACTATAGACTAGACTATAGACTAGACTATAGACTAGACTATAGACTAGACTATAGACTAGACTATAGACTAGACTATAGACTAGACTATAGACTAGACTATAGACTAGACTATAGACTAGACTATAGACTAGACTATAGACTAGACTGTAGACTGACTAGACTAGACTATAGACTAGACCTATAGACTAGACTACTAGACCTAGACTATAGAACTAGACTATAGACTAGACTATAGACTAGACTATAGACTAGACTATAGACTAGAACTATGGACTAGACTATAGACTAGACTATGGACTAGACTATAGACTAGACTATGGACTAGACTATAGACTAGACTATAGTCTAGACTATAGATAGACTATAGACTAGACTATAGACTAGACTACAGACTAGACTATAGACTAGACTATAGACTAGACTATAGACTAGACTATAGACTAGACTATAGACTAGACTATAGACTAGACTATAGACTAGACTATAGACTAGACTATAGACTAGACTATAGACTAGACTATAGACTAGACTATACTAGACTATAGACTAGACTAAAGACTAGACTATAGACTAGACTATAGACCTAGTCTATAGTTAACTAGACCTATAAGCTAGACTATAGACTAGACTATAGACTAGTCTGACTAGACTATAGACTAGACTATAGACTAGACTATAGACTTGACTATAGACTAGACTATAGACTTGACTATAGACTAGACTATAGACTAGACTATAGACTAGACTATAGACTAGACTATAGACTAGACTAAAGACTAGACTATAGACTAGACTATAGACTAGACTATAGACTAGACTATAGACTAGACTATAGACTAGACTATAGACTAGACTATAGACTAGACTATAGACTAGACTATAGACTAGACTATAGACTAGACTATAGACTAGACTATAGACTAGACTATAGACTAGACTATAGACTAGACTATAGACTAGACTATAGACTAGACTATAGACTAGACTATAGACTAGACTATAGACTAGACTATAGACTAGACTATAGACTAGACTATAGACTAGACTATAGACTAGACTATAGACTAGACTATAGACTAGACTAAAGACTAGACTAAAGACTAGACTATAGACTAGACTATAGACTAGACTATAGTTACAATTATAAATCAGACTATAGTCTCGAAGAATGAAATCCTAGAATGCATCCTTTTAAAGTATGCCTGAGCAATTTAAAGAGCATGAGTTTTTCGTTTCATATGTACCATTTTATTTTCACTCAAACAATTTCAATTTAATCAGTTTTATGTAGAAATCAAATCAACATGAAATGATTGACACTTTGGTGTGTTACATGTGTATGTCTGTCTGTGAGTAGTGCCTGCCTGCCCGATTTTATGGAAATGTAAGTAATGTGTGCGTGTAGTTTAAATAAAAAACGAGGTAGAAAAAAGGGGTTTTAAAATTGTTACGCTACTCAAAAATTTAAAATCTGTCATGTAGTTTCTTTTTTTTTTTAAATGTCTACACTTATAAACAAATTTAAACTTATTTTGCATTTAAATTTTTAATAATTTAATCCTTTTATGTATGGCCTACAAATAATATTTCTATTGTTCTTTTAATTTATCTTTTATTTACAGGGTTATACTCCTTTACATATAGCCATGCAATTTGGAAGATCCAATATATTTGCTTTGCTCTGCAATACTTACAGTAAGTAACACCTTTTACTTTATAAATTTATTTTAACGTTTTATTGAATAGAAAATCTTTTAGTGATAACATTTATAGTTCGTTATCTTTAGCTGTCAATCAAAATTTATTTTCTTTCTTATCTTACCAAAAACCATAAAAAATGGGAAAAATAAACAACACCTCCTACTACTCTCCCAAATCAGAACTATAGATATGTACATTTCCATATTGAATGTTTTCTAAACTAATTGCCAAATTCAATATTGACTTATTTGAAGTGTTTGTTTTTGTTTATTCTAACTATTTGTTAGAGGCAAGTCTTTGATCCCCAAATAGCAATATCGGAGTCAATTAAAACGGGCGGCTTTTCTTTTTAACTTGATATAACATTTTTTTAATATTTACACAGTTGCCTTGTATTCTTTGCCAGACATAATGGAGTCATTTTAATTATTACTCCTCAAATAGGAAAAAAGTAATGTTTTGTGATTTATTTTCGATTTGAAAAATCACACCACTATCGCCCGTAATTACTTTCTCATAGTTATGTTGTTTGATTGTTTTTGGTTAAATATTTAATCGGAAGTCATATCTAGTATAAATTTTGGGAATTCTATTTATTATCTTAACTTTTCGATGAGTTCATAAATTTTTTATTTATTTAGGTCTCTTACATTATTATTGAATTAGTCATTAGAATTGTAGGGTTAGTTTAATAGGATATTAACAAATTCTATTATCAAAATTAGTTTCATTATTTTAAGGGTAATAATATATGTATGTATATTTTCGACTATAGAATAGACTATAAAGTTGACTATAGCTTTTACTATATACTGGACTGTAATCTCTACTTTAAACTAAACTGTAATCTCGAATATAGAATATATTGTAGTATCGACTATGGACTAGACTATACTTGCAACTGTAGAATATAGTCTTAACTATAGACTATGCTATAATTTCGCTTGAAGATTTAAATATAGTCTCAACTATAGAGTCTACTATAAACTCCACTATATTCTCTATAATGACTCGACTACAGTCTACTATGAACATCTCTACAGGTTCGACTACATACTCTACTAATTTTCGACTTCTAGTTCGACTATAGTGTCGGCTATTGTCTCGCTTATAGAGGCGACTATATGAATATATTCTCGACTTCGGTCTCGACTAGACTTGACTATAGACTCGACTGTAATCTCAGCTATAGATTTAACTATGAACATGACTACAGTCTCTACTATAATCTTGACTACTGATTATATTTTAGATTCGACTATAGTGTCTCTTATTGATTAATCTATATATAGACGTTACTATAATCTCGACAAGACTATAGTCTCAGCTATAGACGCAAATATTGACTATGCGCGACTGTAGTACTATTTATTCGTCTAAAGTTTTGATTATATAGCCCATAGTAACCACTATAGATATACGACTATTGACTCGACTGTAAACTTTACAATAGACTCATCTATAGACTTCATTATAATCATGACTTAAGACTTGACTATAATATCGAATTCAGACTCACCTATAGTCGCTGCTATGTACTCTACTAGAGACTTGATTATAAAATTTACTAGTCCATAATCTAGTCTATAACTTATTATCATCTATTTCACAAACATATTGAACAACTCTTGCTTCTCATTTCTCTTCCAGAGGCCAATCGTGATCTGCTCGACTGGGCTGGCAATAAACCTCTGGACTATAGTAAACAACAGACCAGCGTCTCGGCTTCCACCTACAGCAGTGAGTATTGCTCCAAATTCCTACTCAACGAACTTAACAACAACTATCACTTTCAACTACCACCTAATATGAAGAACGTCTCTGGTACTGGCAAACTTGCTATTGGAGGCGGTACAGTCGGTAGTGCTTTAGTACGCGGTAAAAAACGCTCTCAACTAACAAGCCCTCTAACACGCACCCAATCTCTACTAACACAAACTTCCGCAATGCGACGTCAAAAGAAATCGGCCGTACAATCGGTGAAGTATGGTGATGATGATGGCAATTTAATACCCTGTGACATGTTGCCATCACCACAAAGTTCACCGGAATCGTCACCGCGTAGTCTTTCACCCAAGAATATACGTCATGGTACGGTGGCTCGTCGTAAGGAGAGCTTTTTGCGTAAAACACTACGTGCTGCTACCTCCTCCAGAAGCAACAATAATCCAGATAATGTTACTAACCAAACTGTAATGGAATGATTTTTTTCACTCTTTCTTAATTTCTTAACTCCCGGAATATGTATAGTGTGCAAGTTTATGTAGTTGCTAAAACAAAAACAACAACAAATAGCGGTTGTAATGCCCACCACCAACAAAAAGTTTAATATATTTTGTTCTAATTATAATTTATTTGTTTAATAATTTATTTATTTATTTAACTGGTTTATTTGTTTCTTTATTATGCATGCTTTTTATTACAACTTTATTAAATTTATTTTCTATTTAGTTTTTAAAATGGCTTCTCAGTTTATAACAAAATTTAATTATGATTTCTTTTTATAACGCAAAATTGTTTATTATTAATATTATTTTTCTTTATTTATTATTTAAAATTTTTTAAATTATTGTTTAAATAATATGCATTTACTACAGGTCTTGCCAATTTTTTATGTTAAATCTTTAATAATATAACTATTTTAAGGTGGCTGATTAATTTTGCTTTTTATTGTTCTGAAATCCTTTAGATTATTGCTGGTTTAACTTATTAGCTGAGTTTTAATTGTTTAACACATTAATAGAGGTTGACCTATATTCACAGTAGTTTGTAGATTAGGTTATAAATTAAGTTTCGAAGCCGCTTTTAATAATTCTGAATAAGTGTACTTTTTAGAAGTTATGTTCTAAGATGATTTCTGGGATTTTAAAACCACTTGTGCCCTCAAGAAAATGCATTATTATTATTAATGCAATAATATAAGAGTAAACACTAAAACTATAGTTTCATCTATAGTCTGGTCCATAGTCTGAACTATAGCCTGGTCTTTAGTCTGGACTACAGTCTAGTCTATAGTCTGGTCTTTAGTCTGTATTAGATTTTGGTATAGAATCTGAACTATAGTCTGGACATTAATCTGGGCTATAGTCTGGTCTTCAGTAGGGTCTATTATGGTATGGTGTATAATCTGGTCTATAGTCCCGTCTAGTCTGGACTCTAGCCTAGACTATAGTCTGCACTACAGTCTGGACCATAATCTGGAATATAGCCTGGACAATAGTTTAGACTGTAGTCTGGACTATAGGCTGGATTGTAGTCTGGACTATAGTCTGGACTGTAGTCTGGACTATAGTCTGGACTGTAGTCTGGACTATAGTCTGGACTGTAGTCTGGACTATAGTCTGGACTGTAGTCTGGACTGTAGTCTGGACTATAGTCTGGACTGTAGTCTGGACTATAGTCTGGACTGTAGTCTGGACTATAGTCTGGACTGTAGTCTGAACTATAGTCTGGACTGTAGTCTGGACTATAGTCTGGACTGTAGTCTGGACCATAACCTGGAATATAGTCTGGACTATAGCCTGGACAATAGTCTGGACTGTAGTCTGGACTGTAGTCTGGACTATAGTCTGGCCTATAGTCTGGACTGTAGTCTGGACTATAGTCTGGACTGTAGTCTGGACTATACTCTTGACTGTAGTCTGGACTATAGTCTGGACTATAGTCTGGACTGTAGTCTGGACTGTAGTCTGGACTATAGTCTGAACTGTAGTCTGAACTATAGTCTGGACTGTAGTCTGAACTATAGTCTGGACTGTATTCTGGACTATAGTCCGCTCTATAGTCTTGAGTATAGTCTGACAAGTCTATATGGTCCATAGTGTGGAATGTGGTCTGTTGTCTACTCTACAGACTGGGCTATAGTCTATAAACTGGGTATAGTCTAGTCTATAGACTGGTTTATAGTCTAGTCTATAGATCGGTTTAACCTGGACTATAGAGTAGCCTATGGTGGTCTATAGTCCCTTCTAGTCTGGACTATAGCCTTTACTATAGCATGTTCTATTGTCTGTTTTACTATATACTATAGTCTGCTTTATAGATTGGAAAATAATGTGGTTTCGAATTGAAATTAAAAGTCTGGGCAATAGTCTAGTTTATAATCTCTAATATAGTCCAATCTATAGTATATTCTAAAGTCTTGATTACAATATATTCTAGTCGAGAGACTATATTTGAATAATGGACCAAAAAATGCGGACCTTTAGAGTTTAATAGTTTTAGTGTCTTCGGATATCATGAAAGCGCAATTTTAGAGAAAGAAAACTGAACAACGATCCAGAAATTATAATTTTAATAAAACAAAGCAAAGATGGATTAATACATAGATCATTATATTTATGCGCCGGCCAATTGTGGGAGAATCTCGTATCATAAATCTCAAACTTTGTAGAATTAATAAAGTTTGCATGACGTACAACGCTAAAACTTGGTTAACGAACAATATTTTTCAAAATTCTTTAATACGAACCCAGCTTTTTGTAAAATGTTATTAAAAATCTAAATTTTGCTTTAACCGAGTTTTAATGTTTATATAACACTTGTTAACAATTAATTGACTTACAATACATGTTGTGTATTTAAAACGACTTTTTATACTAAATAAACAAATTAATGTTTAAAATTAATAACTTTTTAACAAAAGCTCCTTAGAAGACAAAGGATAATATTCTCAATTCATGTTGCTTGGTTAATACATCATTTTGTTATTTAAATACATTATTAAAAAAAAAAACTGGACAAACAAAACCAATGATCCTAATTTAAACCACAAGACACCAGCACACATTTTTTTAGAAATTACTTTTTAAAATAATAATGACAATATAAATTTATTTATTTTTAATGCACAAAACCAACAACTGCAACTCTCTTTTATCGTACACTCTATCTATTTCGTTCAACGATCATTCTACGTGGATTAAATCAAAAACCAAAAAAAAATATTCGCAGAGATTCAAGCAATGCGTCAGCAATTGATCAGCAGTGGATATGGCACCTGGAGGCAAGTGGATAATCATAATCATGGCAGAAATGAACGCAGTGCTATTGAAAGCTTATTGGCACAAACCATAGCTATTTGATTTTTAATTTCATATTAATTAATTTTTTGCATTTTACTTTGTTTTATTTGGAAATAATAAAAAATTCTATATTCTTTAATGTTTAGTGTTCCGAACTAAAAATTTTATAACTTTTTATTTGTTACAAATGCTTTAAGAAACATTTTTTTAAAACAAATAATATTTTTAATAAAAAATTTGATTTTGCAAACATTTCTATTATCATTTGCCTATTAACAAGAGTCATTTACAATTCTCTCCACTCTCTGCAAAGAGATCTTGTTTTTTACATTCTCTCTTAAACATTGTTGCTAAATTTTGTTAACTGAGTGAGTGCATAAAGAGAAGACATTGATATTGCACTTTGCTAAAAGTTTTTTTTTATTAAAGAAGAACTTTGATGCTTTAACTTGAAAGCTTTTGGAATGCTAACTTTTTGTTTTGTTATCGAAATTTTTTGTGATTTTTTTTCTGTTTTCTGGGTTATTTTCGCAATGCAAAGTCTATATAGGGGTAAGTTTTTTGTTTTTTTAAATTGTTCCTATTTGGGTTGGCTTATTTTTTACTTCACCAGCATGTACATTTGAAAAAACGCAACATTTTCCATTACTTACATTGATTTCCTATGATTTTTTATCTGTTTCCATTATTTTTCAATATTTCATAAAAGCTTTTTTTCAGAACTTTTATTTTAAATGGATTTTGATAAAAATATATTTCATTTCTCTTTTCTTAACTTTTACAGAAATCAAAGCAAAGAGAAAACCTACAGGTAAGATTGTAATAATTGGTCTACTTAATACAAATATCATGAAAATAACTGCTGCAGAAACTAATCAAACTTTATTTCTACTTTATCAATATTTCTTTACACTAGTCGAAAAAGATTCGGGATTCCTACGGATTGGCTCTTTGAATGTGCGAGTGAAGAAAACGACCGAAGCATTCAGCAACTTCTTGGGAGTGGGCAATGGCACGATACACTCACACCACCAACAGCAACAACATCACCATCCACACGCAGCCTCAACAGTAAATCACCCTCACCAGCGCCATCACCGTCACCATCATTATCCTCATCATCTTCACGCTCCCGGTGGTATGATGCGGAATCAGCAGCATCTTCATCCGATGATGATGAAAAAATCGGCAACAATGACGATGAAGAACCCACCATCATCGATGAATCATCATCATCATCTACCGGCACCGGGCTCAAGAGCCAGTGTACCAATTAATTCAACAAAATATGACATGCTGCACAAGTCTTGGGGTTCCGCCGATAATATAACACAAAACGCCCTTAAAGCCACAAAAAACTATAATGATGATGACGACGAAGATGATGAGGATTCTTTAATGCCCCCACCCAAGGGTTTGGACAGTGTTAAGAAACGCCAAAAGAATACTAAACGTTCTTCGATATCCTCAAATGCCACCGACTCACCCCGAGATTCGATATCATCAACATCAAGCTCCAATTTTAATTCCGGCTACAGCAGCATGCCCACTACTCCCAATCAACTAAGATCACCTTTAGGTTTAGGTGTACCCAATAACTTGACAGCCGATTCTGATTCAGATTCGGCTTGTGGTTTCGATTCGAATTGGTCCATAAATGGTCGCAGTTCATTAAGTAGTGGTAATTTGAAATCTTCGAAATATTAACAATATATTAACCCTCGAATGCATTAATAAGAATACAAAATATAATTTGTATGACGATTTTACGAAAGCTAATTTTCAATTTGTAATTAGTATTAAGCTATTATATGTTTTACTATATTAACTGCCTTAACAATATATAAAATATCTGTTCTATGTAAAAATCATACTGCTAATTCATATGTTCAAACCCTTTTTTTATTTTTTTGTCTAAATATAACAATAATCATTTTAATTAATAAAAAATTTTTAAACAAACGGAGTTTTCATCTATCTTAGGACTTAAACAATGTGGTCCAACTAATGTTTTCTCTTTAAATCATAGGTTATGTTAATATCAACCCTGTTTTTAAAGATTAGACTGACCACAGTGGGGTAGAATCGAAATCATTTTCAAAAAAATCTTAAATATCCGCTAACCACTGTCGCCAGATGTGGGGATTTATCCCCAAATTGGTGATTTCAAGTTTTATCAAACTGGTTTTATAAGAGATTACAAATAATGATTATTGCTAAAATTTTAACTATACTATCCCATAATAGGGAGGTCGATCCAAGGCATCGACCTTGGGCAATTCAAAATCCAACCGAATCAACCCCCCAAATCAAATATCCATGGAGCAAAACAAACAATAGGGGCCTGCACCAAAAACAATATGTAAAATTCGTTCAAATCGAGCTATGAACAAAAAATGCCTGGAACTTTCGACCAGACCAGCAGTTCGGTTGGACAGTCCCGAACTACCTATTTAACCTACAATTTAGGGTTACCTCTAGCCACCTAGTGTCCAGGTGACTAGCTATTTTGTCCTACGAGGAAATCAATTGTCACCCATGATGGGACACTAAAGGACGATTGTCTTCATCCTCGTTTACAAAGAGTACATCCGTGAAGAAAGACGAAATTGAGCCAACCAGGTGGTGTTAGACGTAAATGAAAATCACTGTCTTTTTCGGATGCATTGACTCCTTTGTCGAACTGCCCAGCGGCCCACAACAGACATACAAACATATATGTATGTACATAAATATATTGTACTAGCTATACCCAGTGTGCTTTGCTACCCTAAAAGCAATATAAATAAAAAATCTTCTTATTAATTTTGAAGATTCTAACTGTAATGTTTTCCAGAGATACATTTTTTCCGAACGTTAATTAAGATTTTAATGTAATCGATGACAAATTAAAAAAAAAATCTAATATTTTCCCAGATATACGAAATTTTGTATTTAATTCATATAGGGGGTGCCCCATTGAAAGTCCGCCCGTTATTCTCTAAATGTTCACATTAATGTCAAAGATCTTCATGTAGAGTTTGAAGATTCTAGCTCTAATAGTTTCTCAGATATACGAATTTTTCTATTTAATTCATAATTTTCCTATTTAATTTATATGGGGGCTCCAAGCCCCCCATGACGAAAGTCCGCTCTTTTTTCTCCAAAATGTTCAGATGAATATGAACTTAAATATTGCAAAATTTGAAGAATTTAGTTCTATTAGTTTCCCAGATAAACCAATTTTTGTATTTTATTAATATGGGAGGTGCTGCTCCCCTCATGGGTAGTCCGCCCGTTATTCTCTGAATGTTCACATGAATGTCAAAGTTCTTCAATTAAAATTTGAAGATTCTAGCTCTAATAGTTTCTCAGATATAATAATTTTCCCATTTAATTTATATGGGGGCTCCAAGCCCCCCATGACGAAAGTCCGCTCTTTTTTCTCCAAAATGCTCAGATGAATATTTAAGTTCTTAGTACAAAATTTGAAGAATTTAGTTCTATTAGTTTATAAAGGACAAACATACATACATATAAACACACTTTCATTTTTATATATATATATATATAGATAAGCATTTACTTCAAAGGTTTTTACTCGAAAAGACAGAAGAGAGCAGGATGCTGTGCACAGAAATTTCGTCTAGCTGTATACAGCAATATCATTTTTTTATATTGACGCAGCGCGTCAAATTAAAATGGCCCTAGGGATACGCAGCAGCCTAGGTCCCATAAGAAATACACGTGTTTGTGTGAGGTACACAGCCAAATCTGCTTATTCGCAGTAACTCTCATAGCAACTTGAAAGATGAGGTGACAGCGAGTGACAATTTGTGAAAATATTTCTATGTGGTTTCTATAAATGTCATATTTTTTTCATATGTGATTTGACATTCTGGAAACTCAAAGACGTCAGTATGCTATGCTCTGCTTACAACTTATCTCTGAGAGAAGAATTTAAAATTTTAAATTGACATCACTTTTATGATGTTAAATAGCAAAGACATCAACCATTTTATATTAAGCCTATTTACGAACGGAGACATCTTTATGTGAATTACAATAACATTTTATTTTGTATATACAACAGCATACTTTTAGGATGAATAATAAAAATAAACCAAATACAGTGTGGTGAATTTATGCTTTAATCGCTTAGTTGTTTTTATTAAAAACTTTTCAGTAAAAAAAAAGAGTTAACATATCTTTTCGCCCAAAAAACAACAAAAATATGCCAATTATTGAATTTTTAAATTGAAAATCGTTTATTTTTGGATATATAAATGATAATGCTTCAAAATTGTTTGCATATCATTGGTAATTTTTGTTGTCTAACTAGCATTCGATCCAAAATTATCCTAGATTCTAAACACAGCGGACCAAGATACACATGACAAAATTTTTAAATATTAACCTTCAAACGCCTATAACTAGGATATTATAAGAGATAAACAAGATAAAAGATCTAGTGGAGCGTCTTACAAAAGTATAAAAATCTTTGAAAGTGGTTGAGAAAAAATATAAAGAGTTCAAAAAACAGTAATAATCCTTGACTGCGATCATGACAAAATTTTCACCGATCGGATCAGCCGTTGTCAGATTTATTTCCAAAAAAATTTGATTCTGCCCCACTGTGCTATTGTTCAAAATTTCGATGTACCACCTCAAATTACCATACTATCAGAAAATTGTCAGCACAAAGCTTTAACAAGTGGCAATACTGACACCAACTCACACGTGCAGTCGCAATGACATTTCACCGAATTTGATTTGTTTTCTTTTTTTGGTGGCCCAACATTCACAAAGTAAAACAATTTTGTACGTAATTATTAAATTTAAATCATTTAACTAGCTTTATACGTATAAAATGGGTAAAAAAGATAAAAATAAGAAAAAAGGCAAAGGAGCCGAGAAGACTGCCATGAAAACGGATAAAAAATTGGCAGCAAAACAAAAGAAAATGTTGGAGAAACTTGGAGAGGTAAACTTAATCAAACAATTGCACAAATTTTTATTTTAAAAATGTCAATCTTTTAGGCCGACATTGCTGAAGTTGTAGCCAAACTGGAGGCAGAGGAAGCTAGACAAAAAACTATAACTGAAGTAGTCTGCGCCACACCACCCACACCAAGATCTAATTTTACCTTGGTAGCTCATCCGGAAAAGGAAGAATTGATACTTTTTGGTGGCGAATTTTTCAATGGTCAACGTGTTTGTGTTTACAATGATCTCTTCTTTTATAATATCGGCAAAAATGAATGGAAACAGGTGAAATCACCTGGTGGTCCAGCACCCAGAAGTGGTCATCAAATGGTTACAACGGCCACGGATGGTGGTCAATTATGGGTAATGTTTGCCAGATGGAAATTTATGAAATCCTTATTAATTATTTCCTTTTTTTAGTTGTTTGGTGGTGAACATGCCAGTCCCTCACAAATGCAATTCTATCACTATAAAGACTTGTGGATGATGAGTTTGAAAACTCGTAAATGGGAAAAAATTAATGCTCCTAACGGTCCTAGTGCTCGTAGTGGTCACCGTATGGTAGTTTCCAAAAAGAAACTCTTCGTTTTTGGTGGTTTCCATGATAACAATCAATCATATCGTTATTTCAATGATGTGCATGTATTTTCTTTGGAATCATATACCTGGCTACAGGTAGAAATCGGTGGAGCTATTTTACCCCCACCACGTTCCGGTTGTTGTATTGCGGCCAATCCAGAGGGTAAAATTCTTATTTGGGGAGGTTATACTAAATCGCCGTTAAAAAAAGATATCGACCGTGGTGTAACCCATACCGATATGTATGCCCTGACACCTGACAGTAAGTATAATGGAAAACGTTCATACAATACAATTATTAATACGGTTTATTTGCTTATTTTAGAAAATGCTCCAGACTCCATGAAATTCAAATGGGTTACGGTAAAAGCCGGTGGTTACAAACCCTATCCACGCAGTAGCGTGGGCTGTTGTTCTGCTCCAAATGGAAAAGCCTACTGCTTTGGTGGAGTTATGGACATAGATGAAGACGAAGAAGATGTCAAAGGCCAGTTTGGTGATGAATTATTAGCCCTGGATCTTTCTGCTCTTGCATGGCGCCTTATAGAAATCAACAAAAAACAGAAAGCAGAGAAAAAAGAAGCTAAAGCAACTGATGTAGAAATGGCTGGTGATGAGGCAAAAGCAGAAACTACAGTAAAAACCGATGGCATTTTTACAATTACTGTGGCCGGTCCCAGTAATGCAGCACCTGCTTTACCCAAAGTACCCAGTTTGTTCCCAAATAGAAGACCGAAAAATGTTCCCTCTCCACGCATGAATCCTGGTTTGTGTGTTTGCAAGGGTACTCTCTACATTTATGGTGGTCTATATGAAGAGGATAACAAGCAATATACTTTCAATGATTTCTATGCGTTGGATTTACACAAACTAGAAGAATGGAAGGCTATTATACCGAATGATATGAATGCTCATGATTGGATTGATAGTGATAGCAGTGATTCCGATGAAAGTGATGAAGATGATGATGAGGACGATGATGATGACGAAGATGATTCTGAAATGGATACAGATTAAAAGATCATTGATTTTTCTTAAACATATTTTTTATAACAATTGTTCTTTTATTTTGTATAACAATAATAAATGCATTTTAAAAGGAATTAATTTAGTTTCAATAATTCAGTTAATATTCTCTTGGTATCATGGGGTGATTCCACTTTATGTGAAATAGTACGGGGATCGATGAAAATTTCGTAATCATTACCGCCGGGTTCAGTTTTATCACCAAAGAAATGTATTTCCTTGAACTTATAATGAGCCTCAATGTAGCGCAATGAATAGGTTTTATCCCAGCCATTGGGGAAGACATCAAAACTTATTTGGCCACCGATACTGTAAGTCAAATCTACCTCAGAGAATTCATTTTTTAAAACCTCAATCATTTTGCG